TTATTGGAACCAATCGGAGAATTTGAAAAAATACTTTCATTCAATGCAGCTGTTGAAAATAACACTTCTTTTCTTTAACATTTCAATTTCTTCTGGTGTTTAATTTTTCATTTATGACCCATGCTTTTGAAAAAAAAATGGGCCTACAGATGAATAATTTGATTTAAGTATATTTGATAATAGTTTTATATACTTGTACCTTAATGCAATAATTGCAGCTTTTTGTAATATGATTATTACGACAAAGCTTTATAAACTCAATTTCAATTTAAAAATAAAAATTCATCATGTCAACTGCAATGTTTCAACGTTTTATTCAAAATTTCACATTATTAGTTAACATCGACAACATTATCATATCAACACCAATAACATCAAGTAATGTTAATTTTTTTAAACTCTTACAACATAAACAAACAATAACTAAATAGTTTTTCTTTTGACTATATAAAAAAGGGCTATGCGTAATCGTAAAAAGATTTAATATTATTAATGAAAAAATCAACAGTACAAGAAAGGTTACACATAATCACAAAAAGTATTAATTATAATGAAAAGAATCAATAGAACTAAATTTCTAATTCGAAATTAATAGCTAAAGATTTTTACATACATATATTGGTAATAAAACTGAGAAATCGCATCTTCTTTTTTTTTAAAAATTAGGAAACAAAAAAAATCTTATTGTATAACTAACTTCAACTGAATTTCTTTATAATAAATCTTGCCTCGATATAATAGTAGTAATCACAATATAATATACGGTAATTGATGTGGATTTACCCATATGAAAATCAAGCACGAAATTGTATATCCGAGCACACAAGGTTGTTATTATGATGATGTATATCGCCGTCGAGACATTGACGTGAAATAGACAAAAACATTGTCATGTAGTCCAGTAAAAATAAGCCTGAAATGTTTTTGTCACATAAGTGGATGCATTTTTGACATATGGTAAATTGAGGTGGAAAAAGACGATTCTGAAATTTGCAGAGTTCTAGGTCCAGGGGTTCTAAGAGAAAATCACGTTTGAAATTTTTTTTCGCCTGTATCCCGCGAACGGCTGAACGTACGACAAAATAACATGCACCAATCGAAAGAGCGTGAAATTTTACATCAGAAACAATGTTTAATCCGACATCGATGAGTGTAAAATGTTGAGATAAAAAATAAATAAGAAACTTTACGTGAATAAGGAGAAGGGGAAGGCTGGGGAAGGCGCGGTATAGTTTCGCTCTCCACCGCCGCCCCTCCAAGCGTGCGCAGACAGTCGACGACACTCGGCAATCGTCGGCCTATAGCAGCCGAAGAGGGGAAACGTGCATGTACGCGCGCTTGAATTCATTTTCGATATTTGGTGGCCGGCGATGGAGCGGTGGTCGGAAACAAGTCTTATTATGATCTTTTAGGATTCTCTCTTTGCAACTAATCTAAAAAATACTCTCATCACTAGTACTTAAACGAATTAGTTTAACGTAAGCTCCACCTCTTCTTAATAAACATATGTTACATCCATAACATTCAAATAACATGTAACGATAGCCGAGGTAGCTAAAGCATACCATCACTTTTTATTTTCGTAGTAGCGGGTTCGAATCCCATTGAACATACTTTTTTTAAACATTTTTTTTCTGTACATCCCTTTGATGGTATACTTATATTTTATATGTTTTAATTTTTGAAAAAAAATTACTTAAAAAGTTGTATTTCTATATTTAGCTGACTTGTACCTGAAAATTACTACAAAATTACATTTGCAATGTTTACTTAATTATCGTATATAAAATTTTCAGTCCTTGCAATGAGATAAGCATTGTTATTTGAACATGGATAAATATTTAACATATAAATATGTATTTGAAGCTTTTTTATCAGTTTGATCAACTTTTAAAGAACAAAATGTGCATCGATATTAATCCTTTTTAATTTGAGAATAATTCATAAATAAATAATTTTGTACAAGGCTTTACATATTTTGGCTTTTTAACAATTAAAATGACGTTTCATTTCCAGCACGAGAAAAGCCAAAGGCCGGCGGCGGTGGTGGGGAGCCTCCCTCGCGCGCTTGGAAATACTGAAAGTCCGCGTTCAAATCGACGCGCTTCGCAAAAATCAGGCGAACAATTGCATCAAATTCGATCATTTTTTTTTTAATTTGGGGTAGCTTCAAAATTTATTGAGATTGGTTTAGTTGTAATTACTATTATTAGTGCCAATAGTTTATTATTAACTTAATTGAATTCATACATATCAGTGTATGTATAAATTCCAATTAATTATTACTTGCTATCCGTAAATATGGATAAGGATAAATAATAATCAATATATTTTCAATTATTAATAACAATATTTCAATTTATATGCATACGTAGGCTATAGTTTACATGATTTCTTATTTTCTAATCGTGCCTAGTTCTTTTCGGCGCAGACTCATTTATTTCGTTTTCATTGCATTCTTCATTCAACATTACTTCTACAAGACTACTTAAATTATACTCTTCGTTATCAATATGATCATATTCATGTATTTCTTCTACGTTCGTACAATTATCCCCGTAGCAAAATCCATACAAGCGAGAACATTTGAGGTCATGTTTGCGGCAGCTGCACGCCTTGCGATTTCAGTTAAGTACAAACTTAGAAAATACGGAAAATAAAGATTACACACACACACACACACACACACACACACACATATATATATTCCAAAAAGGCTGTAAAGCTTTGTGCAGCAAACATGGCCTCAAATGTTCTCGCTTGTGTGTATTTTGCTGTACGAACGTAAAAGATATTGACAACGAAGAGTATAATTTAAGTAGTCTTGTAGAAGTAATGTTGAATGAAGAATGCAATGAAAACGAAATAAATGAGTCTGCGCCGAAAAGAACTAGGCACGATTAGAAAATAAGAAATCATGTAAACTATAGCCTACGTATGCATATAAATTAAAATATTGTTATTAATAATTGAAAATATATTGATTATTATTTATCCTTATCCATATTTACGGATAGCAAGTAATAATTAATTGGAATTTATACATACACTGATATGTATGAATTCAATTAAGTTAATAATAAACTATTGGCACTAATAATAGTAATTACAACTAAACCAATCTCAATAAATTTTGAAGCTACCCCAAATTAAAAAAAAAATGATCGAATTTGATGCAATTGTTCGCCTGATTTTTGCGAAGCGCGTCGATTTGAACGCGGACTTTCAGTATTTCCAAGCGCGCGAGGGAGGCCCCCCACCACCGCCGCCGGCCTTTGGCTTTTCTCGTGCTGGAAATGAAACGTCATTTTAATTGTTAAAAAGCCAAAATATGTAAAGCCTTGTACAAAATTATTTATTTATGAATTATTCTCAAATTAAAAAGGATTAATAACGATGCACATTTTGTTCTTTAAAAGTTGATCAAACTGATAAAAAAGCTTCAAATACATATTTATATGTTAAATATTTATCCATGTTCAAATAACAATGCTTATCTCATTGCAAGGACTGAAAATTTTATATACGATAATTAAGTAAACATTGCAAATGTAATTTTGTAGTAATTTTCAGGTACAAGTCAGCTAAATATAGAAATACAACTTTTTAAGTAATTTTTTTTCAAAAATTAAAACATATAAAATATAAGTATACCATCAAAGGGATGTACAGAAAAAAAATGTTTAAAAAAAGTATGTTCAATGGGATTCGAACCCGCTACTACGAAAATAAAAAGTGATGGTATGCTTTAGCTACCTCGGCTATCGTTACATGTTATTTGAATGTTATGGATGTAACATATGTTTATTAAGAAGAGGTGGAGCTTACGTTAAACTAATTCGTTTAAGTACTAGTGATGAGAGTATTTTTTAGATTAGTTGCAAAGAGAGAATCCTAAAAGATCATAATAAGACTTGTTTCCGACCACCGCTCCATCGCCGGCCACCAAATATCGAAAATGAATTCAAGCGCGCGTACATGCACGTTTCCCCTCTTCGGCTGCTATAGGCCGACGATTGCCGAGTGTCGTCGACTGTCTGCGCACGCTTGGAGGGGCGGCGGAGGAGAGCGAAACTATACCGCGCCTTCTTAAAGTTTCTTATTTATTTTTTATCTCAACATTTTACACTCATCGATGTCGAGTTAAACATTGTTTCTGTTGTAAAATTTCACGCTCTTCCGATTGGTGCATGTTATTTTGTCGTACGTTCAGCCGTTCGCGGGATACAGGCGAAAAAAAATTTCAAACGTGATTTTCTCTTAGAACACCTGGACCTGGAACTCTGCAAATTTCAGAATCGTCTTTTTCGCCCTCAATTTACCATATATCAAAAATGCATCCACTTATGTGACAAAAACATTTCAGGCCTATTTTTACTGGACTAATGATGATCACAGCTCATTCCACAAGTCCGCCAATCGCTAAGTCGTCTCCAGCCGACCAATTAGCTGCCGAATAAAATTCTTCAATATGGCCGCCTCCGGTAAACCGGGCTCAAATTTATATCTAGTATCACCCACTTAGTTTTACTAAACAATATTGATTATGGAGATGAACTTTGAGGATGAATTTCATCCTTTTAATATGCTTTTCCACCGATAATAGAAATACGAATCTCATGTTTTTTTAATGTACCACAACATATAAAAGAATTATTAAAATCAATGAGTTTGGGTTGAGATACATTCCTTGTGAGTGAGCTGTATGTTGCCCTATAGGTTACATATTAACAGAGAATAGTACAGTTACGTCGTACACCACCTATTTATCTATTGACTAATTTATCTATTTATCTAATTTATCTATTTATTTATTATTTCCCTCGTTCCCTCGACCTTAAACTATTCCGCGGTAAAAACATCTCCTTACCATACAACGCTTGACTCACCAAAGGCACATAAATAACCAATTTTGATTACAAAAAAATAAAAAATGTGCCTATTACTACTGAATGCAGAAAAAATAATGATTTACATTTGGAAACAGAAAAACAACTTACTTGTGTGAACACTGCCTTACTACAGCAAAATTTCCATCTCCAATAATATGCCCAATACTATAGTTTGATTTTAAAGATGTTGGAATATTTAATACAGATGGACTTGGAGCTCTTGTTTGCAAAGAATAAAAAGACCTTTTTTCCATTTTACGAGCTGGCATTTTTGGCATAGGTCCAATATGTTTTTTTAAGCTTAGTTGTCCTTTTCGAAAGCTTTGCATAGATTTTGTTTCTTCAATATCAAGTTCAAAATCTTCTGAACAAGGCTTTTCCATTCCATAAATAATAAAAACATTTTCTTCGCCAAAAAACTGTTCTAGAAGGGTAATTTGATGACCAGATAATGAATATACTTTTCTTACAGCTCCAGAATCTAACTTTATCACTTCTGTTATTGCTTCCAAAACATGTTCTATACTTGGTGAATTTCTTTTATTTAATAATAACCGAACAATTTTTCTAGGTTTGGTTCCATTCCGAATTAAAGAAATAATTTTAGCTTTAACAAATATAGGAATAATATTAATTTGTTTTGTCATCATTGCACCAGATGCTGGTATTCCAGACATTGAACTTCCTCTCTTCACCAAAGACGATGAATAATCCACTTTTTTGAAGACTTCACCTTGACCAGATACAACATAGCATTTACCGTCTTCCAACTCATTTATATCTTGCACTTTCTTTCCATCCATATTATATATAACTCGAACTCCATTTGGTAATGTTACATTTGAAACCAAAGCCCTTGTAAGATCTGAAATAAGGCTATCAAAACTTCTATACCTTTCTGGAGTTACAGCAATAACCACACCGCTGTAAAATTTATCTCCATTACGGAAAAATCTGATTCTTTTAGCTTTTTTTGTGGCTGATACTTTGATATAGTTGAAAGAATGACGATTGCTATTTTCTAACAAATTCTTGTCCACAACTGAATGGTTTGTGCCTTTATCGTGGGAATGAATATCTTCTTTTAAGCACATAAATGACATTTGATTAGTTGCTTGTTCCATTATTGCAGATTTTAATTACTGGAACCACAAACATTTTTTTTTTTATATTTTGTAAATAAACTTAAAAGAATATAAATGATAATCTCATGATATTTAGAACTTAAATACTTACCCAACTTAAAAATTGAAATTCTGCAAATTAAATTTAAGTTTAACATGTTTTGACATTTCCTTTATCTGGTAGGCTTGAAAAATTAAGTTTATGTACATAATATCTTCAGTTCAGTTCTCTAAAGAATATATGGTAATAAGAACAAATTAAACTCCACAATTAGTTTATTATGCAACTATTAGAATCTTATTACACAAATTTGGAACTATTTAAAATATTTATTTAGTTAAAAAGCAATCTTAATTTAAATAGAAAAAGAAAAATAACAATGTAGGAATTTAATAAAAAAATAAATTACTAAAAATTTAACTATTAAAAGAAAAATAGAGCAAGTAATAAATTGAATATAGCTTATATGTACCAATTTATATATATAAATATTTTTTAAAACATTAACATTTCCACATTTATTTTTAAAAAGCTTTAACTTAATAAAATATCAGTATATTTTTGTCGTGAAGTAACGTATATATTTGATCGTAATAATCTTTTGATCATTGCATATGATAACCTCACGTTTTATTTTATAAATTATTTTGGCAATAAAAAATATTACAGCATATCAAAAATTTAATACAATAAATCTAAAAACTGCATGTCATTTTAAAAATAAAAATTATTTTTAGATAATATGATATTTTGTTGAAGAAAATTTGTAATTAGGCTTATACATATATGCTTATACATATATAACAAATATACTCCAAATATTGCAATATTCATTGTATATTCATATCATTTCACTAATGATTATACATTGTATATTATATACTATACTATTCTACAACACATACTACACACAATGTAGACTACACATTGCACAGAGATTAAAACCGGTAGATTAAATTAAGTGAAAGAATGCTATAGGTATGTTTCGATTTGTTCGTTTCATTTCGTTTCGTTTTAATGGCCGTTGGTGCCTGAGGAGTGAGGACTCCGCAGCGATGAACATTCGGTCACCCATCCCAAACTTCTTTTTCTCCTATTCGTAACGCATCTAGGTTTGTTGTATACTTGTGGCTGTTGACTATTCTATCATTATACCATGTCCGAATTCCGCGTTTCAAATTAGATTTGTTATAAAGAGGGAAAATAAGAAAATTGTCAATTGTACAATATATAGCTATTGTATGGTCATCAGCATATCAAATTGATGTAGCCTCGGGAAGTACTGATTATATATTGTCAAGTACAATTCGATATGTAGCTTAGTAGTAAGAGCAAAAGTTAAAAGAAAAAGGTATTGTAACAAATATAATTTATATTCTCATACTATTTTTTGAAAAATTAAGAAAAATGTAAACATGTCATAAATTGTCAAATCCTACTTAGTTTATTCTCATCTGAACTCTGTAAATTCATATAGGTTATATAATAAATTTAGTAAATTATAATTCTTGTTTGAAACATTTTAAATTCTTTATTATAGCTAGAACAGCTGACAATAAATGAGTCAATAAATATAAGATAATTATATCTAGAGTGTAATATCGAATTGAAATTTCCAGAGCGAATTGAATAGAATGTAAAGAGTTGACTTCGGTCCAAACAGAGTCTAACACTGAAAATGTTGAATGTTATTGTAAAACAGTCTCAAAGTATGTTTAATTATTAAAATTTTATAGATTGATATTTATTGTTTTTAATTCTTTTTTAATATAGATATTACAGGTCTGAACCAAATGCTGAAGTGTCAAAATTTACTGCTGACGATAACAATGGCAAAGTCAACTCTTTATATTCTGTGTTCAATTTGGTCAAGAAAGTTTAATTCAGCATTACGCTTGAGACATTGTCTAGCTATAATAAAGAATTTAAAATGATTCAAACAAGAATTATAATTTACTAAATTATAATAGTAACGAGTTTGACCTCAGCTCCTTATGTCTCTCTCTCTCTATATATGACCATAATATTAAGAATATCATATATCTATAATGTTACATTATTTGAATTACATTTCTTCTTAGCAGCAGCAGACAACGACTGCGGAGAAGGTAAGAAAGAGCGCCGGCAGAGAGAGACCGTGTACGCGTGTAGGCATAGCGGAATGGATGACAAGCCGCGCGCCACGTGACGAAGGGCCGGCAATCAGCCGATAGCTCGCGAGCCGTGTAGAAACATTCAGTCGTGCGTGCGCTTGTATTAGCTTTTCTTTGTGAATCGCCTCGTGGAAACAGAGAGACTTTTGACTGTGACAAGTTAGTGAAGTGCAACTGTGCGTGCAATACTTCCTCTCCTTCGCGACAAGTGACAGCATAGTTAGGCGAATTCCGCAATCGTGCCGAATCGTAATTGAGGGGCTTCGATTAATGTAAGTACCAACCGTTCCTTAGATCTCTCTCTCGCTTTGCCTATCTCGCCGCTCTCTCTGAACCGCCCTGTACAATGACTCGTATATAAACTTTATATATTTGAATACTCCTAAAACTGCATGGCTTTTCTTTTGAACTATCCTTTCCGTCCTATCGCTTCCCTTAACTTTCGCGATTTGATCTGTGTGACCCAAGATGCTCTCCGCGGGCCAGCTTGCGATCTGCCGGACCGGACCGGTCTTGCGTAGCAGAACGCAGTGCCGCGAAGAGCTGCATTTATGCCAGCCACTTGATCTCGGTTAAATTAATATATTGTAGAGGTCTAAATCTCCGTTGATACGGGGGTATGTTTGGTCCTTTTATACCCTTTTTTTAGAAAGTGGAGAGTGGTGGTGGAGTCTTTTGTTTTAGATTCTTAGAGTGGGATTGCTTGCACGGCTATAGGTGGGGAGTGAGAAGTGTCGTAGTTGATTGATGACCTAAAATATTTTCCGTCAAGTAATGTCTGTGCAGATTTGCATATCATTCTTGTTTGAGTGTTTAAAGGTTGACTCAGTTCTCGCACCGGTATATTTTCGAACCTATGGCCTTTGTCACTGCACACTCTATATGCGCAAGGTATGCAACTTACTGCTATTACGGATGCGATAACGATTACGATGATTACTCAACGCTAAATACGCGTGTAATAATTCCGCACGCTCCGAGTCTTCGTATTTGTTCTAATTATTATTTATTTTTGGGCTTTTGATTATTATTTCGTTTGTAGTTAACAGAGAAATTTTCGGAATAACAAAATTTTTTGCCCTTCGTGGTGTAATGAATTTAGCGACTCGGTTAGTTTCGTTAAGATACTGAAATACCGGTAGAAAATATAATTTGAAACTCTGCGTATTGCTGCTTGCGGCAAGGGGAAAAATTACTTCGACAATGATGTTCTTTCGAAAGTAAACTACGTCAACTTCTGTAATTTATTGTAGTGTTATGATATTATTTTTTGACATATGTATTGGAAACTTTGAATTAGTAATTGCCCTGATAGTTTTTATTGCGTGTAGCAAAAATTACGGATTGAAAGAAAATTTTTTATTTTGCAGGATTTGACGTACTTCAGTTGATATGTAAATAAATTTATGTATCATGTCGTTAATTTCGGCTAAAATAAGGCTAATGTGTGTAGAATTATATACTGAGCTCATTGCGCTAGTAATGAAATCTGCACGAGCTTTTTTAAAAAGCAAAAGATTTGTTCCTGAATGTAAATTATTGTCGGTGCTATAAGATAAGTCATGTTCCCCCATGTGTTCGGTTAAATTACTCTTACGCATATACAAAATATCTTCAAGGGCCTTATCGGCATGTTCGAGTAAGAGGCTGTCTGGCGATGCTAGGGCAATCCGCCCCCACGTTGGGTGTGTCAAAAGCGTATGGGTTGAGAGAGGTGCTGACTACTTCGTTGACATGTTGGAGTTTTTTTGTTTTTTCGTAGGCTGTGTATATAGAACTTTTGATGAAATCGTTTATCTCGATTGTCTTGCAACCTGCAGATATTTTTTCCAGTGTTTGGATGAAATTGTGATGCGAGTTAAGTATTGAGTTGACGTCAAGAGCGGTGATAATATTCCATTTTTTTTTAATAAATCGTATGTTAGATCCTTTTTCAAAAGCGATTCCAGGTTGACTATCATATTGCTTTGTAGTTGGCTGGTTTTGGTATATAACGGTAAGTAGTATAGCAATGTATGTTCCAGCACACCTGCGGGGGGTCTGTAACCCTTTGACCCCACCGGGCTTAACCCTTTGGACCCCCTGGCTATGTTAATAATAATTATTATTGTTAACAATTATTATTAACAATATTCGTGGGGGATCCCTTGGTTTAACCCTTTGATTCCCTGGCCTCTATCCCTTCTATGTTAATTATTATTATTATTAATGTTAATAATTGTTTATAATTTTTGAGGAAGGTTTCTAGGGCTCCTAGTCCCTAGGGCTCCTAGTCCCTAGGGACCCTATACCTAGTGCTTTTAGTCTAATTAAATTTAAATGTTTTTTTAAAGTTATAAATATATATATATTATTAATAATTTACTTGCTACATTGAGAATGAAACAAATATAGAAAATAGCGACAATTTTTTTTTGAAAAAAATGAAAAGACAGACCGGAGAATCGAACCGGAGTCCTCTGGGTTGGCAGGCTAGCGTTCTACCACTAGAGCCAATGCCACATGTACCTTAGAGGATGCATATTGTGTATATTAGCTACACACGCATACATTTGGTATAGAGCCCGAGCGTGCGGAGGAGGAGGGGAGCGCATGCTGTCTATAGTTCTGGCCTGATGGGGATGCGCTACTATAGTAGTATTAAATGTATGCTCTCTCTCTCTAGCTCTGACTTAGCGTGGTCCACAGTGCGAGGAGGAGGGGAGCGCATGCTGTCTATAGTTCTGGCCTGATGGGGATGCGCTACTATAGTAGTAGTAAACGTGCGCTCTCTCTCTCTTTCTCTCTCTGTCTCTCTCTCTCTCCTACGCTCTAGCTAAGCGTGGACCATGATGTGCGGAGGGGAGCGTATGCTGTCTATAGTCAACACGTGCTCTCTCCACGAAGGGAACTGTTTTCGTGAGAATGCTAGAGACTACGAATGCAGTCGCTCGACTGACACCTCCTTGAGATGTTCCTCCTAAACATCTCTGCTAGGAGAGAACCTTATTCCCATCCATTCACCCTTTCTTACAATCGTTATGATTATTTTACTATTTAAATAAGCACACATTTATTATTTATTTAATATTTATTATTTTTAATTATACATTGAATAGAGTATACTTTGTCTATAATCTTTATGTTCAGTGTCTGACATAGCTATTTTTAAATATTCACTTGAATTTTTATATGAATTATAGTCATCTGTAAATCTTTCGACTGTGTCGATCCCTTTTGATTTTGCTTGTTTTTGTCTTTCCATCATCCAATCGTGTATCTTTTGTGTATTTACTGCAGCACATACTATATTCTCGCCATTCTGACTATGATATATACATAATGGTTTAAATTTAAGACTTAAATCTTCCAATCGCGGACATCTCATTTCAGTTTCGATATCTAAAATATTTCTGTAATTAAAAAAAAAACTAATTAAATTCGAATTTAGAATTTTGTACTATTGTATATTATTTGAACCTACTTTTCAGGAATAATTTTTTTAAGCCATTGCTTCTTTTATAATCCTTTCACATAAATATTTCTACAATTATGTAAATGACTACGTATAGTA